AGAAAGAAAACCAGAGATTATTGGGTAGCTCAAATGAAAGTTGGCAATGGTATAGGGATTCAGAAAAACAACTTGGAGGGTAAATCCACAAGAGCTGGATGTACAAAAAAAATAAAAGGAAGAGATATCATGAATGATTATCATGGTTCTGTGGCATGGATGGTTTCAGATCATGTTTAGGTGGGAAAATGATGTTTTAAAACTGTAGAGCATGAGTTATCGGTCTGATAACCATCCATGTGAAGGTACCCACAAGCACTTAAACAGGGAAGTCCCAAATATGGGGTAAAGGTCTGAATGAGAGATACAGCCTTGGAAGTGGCATGAAAGTGGCAAAGGGATTGAGTGATCAAGATTGAGCCAAAGACACATTTTTGTGAACGAAAACATTGTGAAGAGTAGACAGAGAAATCAGATCCTAAGAAGGAGTAGACAGCTAAGATAGTGGAGAACCAGCAGAGAACACTCCCAGCACTCACTAGGAAGGTCAGATGCGTCCACACAAGCACATAAGCCTCCCATTGTCTCTACAGTTTGGCAACATCAGACTCTGGTTCTCATATTCCCTGTTACAATTGCAGTCTATCAATAAGCACGTGTCAGGTGCTTTTAAATATTAAGAAAATGCAATGGGCAATGAAGATTATGTAAAAAAGTAAAATAATATACTCCCTTGCATTCATGTCTTATCATTTATAAGGCACTTTTACAGACTTGTCATTTTTAAATTTTGACACTCACAAACTTGCAGCATAAGTAAGACAACAAAGTAGTAAGGTATTAGTCCACATGAGGAAACCGAAGTCACAGAGGTTAAGTGACTTGCGTATTAAGCCTCATAGCTAGTAAGGTATCAAGACTTAGGCTCATTGTGGGTATGCTCTCTGTCCTTAGAGAGCTTATTATATATTTTAAGTATATATAAAATAAAAATATGTATAAAATATAAGTTCTTTGAGGTCAGACAGCATGGTGTGTGTGTGCGTGTGAGTTCACGTATATATTATATAGCTTTGATGGGGCATCTATCCCTGCCACTGCAGGCACCGTGTAAAAGCTAAATGAGATATAAATGGTGTATGCCTTTAGAGGAAAGAGAGATCACTGCTGAGTCTTGGCAGGGAGTGAGGAGAGAGTGGGAGTGAGTACAAAGGTGTTCTTACTGTCAAAGAACATGCGAACACTCTAGAAAACATGCTAGAAAAGGAGAGAGAAATGTCAGCAAATAATTGGTGTATATTAGGATACAGAGGAAGCAGATAATAAAATGAGTTATTCACTTATTTTTGAGAGAAGTACTCCAGGCTGCTACTGATTTTTGGAAAATAAATGGTAATTTACTTCCAAAATAATGGGTTAGTACCTACTTTATACTGGTGACTCTAGAATAGGCTCATTCCAAAGTTTAAACATGTGCGTGTGCGTGTGTGTGTGCGCGCGTGTGTGCATGTGCATAAGTATAAGTGTGTAAGTACATACACTCTGAAGTATGACAACATTCCAGTGTTCTCATTCTGGAATTGATAGAAGTTGTAGATAAAGTAAGACTAGTTTGGGTCACCAACTTGAGCTTAATATTCAATCTCTATTTTGTACTTGTTGGATTGCCGATGTGGGAAATAAAATACTTGAAAATTCTAGTATAATATATGTGAAGCGCTGTTTGGACTATTCCCCAGAATCCCAACTTGACCTAAGAATGGGGACTGCTGCTTCCTTAATTTCCATTTTTCATTGACATGCCTGCCAATGTCTAAATTGCTTGTGTCTTGTGGTTATTTCTGAAAGACTAGCTAGATGTATGTTTTATAAATTTGGACCCTTTTTCAGTATTCTTTTCCCATTAACACAGCTTTTACCTATATGTTTTGAAGATGGGGAAACATTTCTGCCATATCCTTTTAATCTTTTGCTTTTGGAATGAATTTAAGTGACTCCATAATCTCCATGTATTGGGTCTTAGTACTGATATAATTCTTGAGCAGGATGAATGCCTGCCTTTAACTAGGTAACTCAGCCTCGAATCTGTGGGATCCTGTTAATCAGCATGTCATTAGGACCAAAAGGTAAGTATGGAAAGAACAAAAAATTAACAGTGCTTCTGTCTGTCAGTATTTGTATTGGCATAGAGTATACTTGCAAAAAGAAGTGATAAGAACTGGGAGTATTACATGACCAAGTTGACTCTCATACAGTCTGATTTTTTTCCAATTAAATATTAATTTATTATGAATATTTCTGTTCAGTAGGCTGTATTTACATAGTTTTAAATTAATTATGACTCAGTTGTAACACAAATCATTATTGCAAGGAGCTTTCATATCTACTATGAAAAGTTAGAAGTAATATTTGAAATCTTTTAGAACTAAATTTGCATATAAATTCAAGCATCATTATAATGGAGTCTTGTTTGTTTGTTTTTTTAAGGTGGCTCTAACTAACTATACTTTTGAAAATGTGAGCTTTCACGTTCTTCATCAGCGTTTTCCCCTCTTTACCTTTCGAGTCTTATCAGATTGGTTTGATAACAAGACAGATCTATACAGGTAATGTTTCATAACTCCGAAGAGGATATCTTTTTTAAATCAATATTACTGGAGTATAATTTATATACAATAAAGTTTATTGTGTGATGACTTTGAAAAATGTACACACCCTGTAACCATTACCCCAATTAAGGTAAACATAGTTCTTAACACCCAGAAAATTCCCTTTATACAACTTTGCAGTCAGCCTACCTATTCCTAAACTTTCCAGGTAAGTACTAATTGAATTGATATTACTATAGATTATTTTGGCCAGTTCTAGAACTTTGTATAAATAGAATTATTTACAACCTACCCTTTTGTGTACCTTTTTGTGTCTGGCTTACTTCAGAAAATTCAGTATAATGTTTTTTGAAATTGAACCATGTTATTGCATAAACCAGTAGTTTGTTTATTTTTATTGCTAGATAATATTCAATTATATGAATATACCACAATTCATTTATCAAGTCACCTGTTGATGGTCAATTGGGTTGTTTCTGTTTTGAAGCTATTATGAATAAAACTGTATGCAAGTCTTTGTCTGAACATACATTTTCATTTTCCTGGGCATGGAATTGCCAGGTCACATGATTACTTGGTTAACATTTTAAGAAACTGCTGAATTGTTTTCTTTGGTAATTCTTCTAGTTCAAGTCTGCTGGCAGCAAATTCTCTCAGCTTTTATTTATCTGAATATATCTTTATCTCACCCTTATTTTTGAGTATTTTCACTGTCTAATTCTGGGGTTGAGAATTTTTTTTTTTCTTTTACCACTTTAAAGATTTCATTCCCTTTTCTCCCAACTTTCATTTTCTGATGAGAAATCAACAGCCATTCTCTTCCTTTTTCCCATTTATACAATGCATTTTTTTCCAGTCAGGGTTAATGAACAGTTGACTGCTGTTGCTGCTATTCTGTGTGAGGCTTATAGTGGAGGCGGGGAGTTATTTGGTTCTGGTTTGGAGTCAGTCGTTGGAAGTTCCTGTCCTCCTGGGGCTCAGGGATGAGGCTTTCTCAGCACTCCTGCTCTTCGCACAGCGGTGATGGGTCTCTGCTTTGTACCACTGCCAGTCCTGGCCTCAAGCAGGTTTCCTAACTCTGCCAGGAGAAGATGGTGTTTGCTTGTTCCTTCGTCAGCAGCAGTGCTTCTGGGAAAGCGTTCTGTCCCTTTCACATTGGTAGACTGATACTTAGTACAAGGCCCATGGTTGGAACAGGGGAAGTTACCTGCCCTTCCCTCCTGTGCAGCTTTTACTACTGCCACTATCCCAGCAGCAGACATCCTTTGCATCTATTCTTTCCCCCAGAGATAGTGGATTTTTGCATAAACCCTGAGGATTGGAGAGTTTCCCCGCCAGTGCCACAGTAGCTCAAGGCTTTGCTTCATATGAGAGAAGGGTCGGAGAAAGTTGTGTGCCCTGCCTGCCCCCAGTCTTTCTCACAAGCACTGGAGGAGGGCGCCATGGGAAAAGACTCCCCTGCTGCCTGGGCTCTTAGTGATCTAAAATTGTCATGCTAACCCATATATGACCTTTAATAATTGATTAACATTTTACCTGTTTCATTCTTACCTGCTTTTATGGCAGCTGCCTATCCCTCCTATGCTCTGCCATAGGTAAACTAGGTTATGTGTCCTATCTGTCCTTAGATGGGTTTGTCACATCCAGTGAAATTTAGTTCACCTGATTCTCTTGTAACCTCAACTTTCTGATGGCCTTAAAAAAATTGTAAGTTTGTAGATCTTTTTATCATTGTCAGAGTCGAGTAATGGCTGACAATGGAACATCCGAAGCAGAACTCTGTAATTTTTTTTTCTGGGCTGCTTAGGAGAAGTTAGATACCCATAAATAAAATGAGACTTGGTATTAAACTTAACATTAAAAATTACATTCAGTGGTTTGTTTAAAAACCCCAGAATGCTCTAAATGCATATTTTTGCTACTTCTTATTAGGTGTTATCTAAGATGATAAGTAACTCTGTTTTTGCCAAGTGAACCTAACATACTACATAAGGGACTTAGACTGTACATTACACCATTTATGTTAAATGGATTATATTACATGGAGAGACCATGCACTCTTTTTTTGGAGATACTTTGGAAGATCAGACAATTTTACTTTTAAATTTAAGTGAATTTTTACCAAGAAAGTAAGTCATACTTTTCATTTTGCTTTTGCTTTCTACAATGTTTTAAGGAAATACATATATTTGTAAATTGACTCAGAAATGAGAGGAACTTGCTAGCCAAGGATTTCTTGTATTAGATCTGTTTATAAAGCACAAAAGTGCCTGATTATTATTATTTTGTTTTTGTAAACTCAGATTTGGGTCTCCAGGAAGCTCTTGATTTACATGAATGAGTTATATTCCCAAAGTATTGTTGCTTGTGACTTAGAACACATTTTTCCATAAAATGTTATGTCTCGTGACTAGATCCCTAAATCAGTCTGTAAAAACCTTTCCTAATCCCTAATATTACTAATCTGGAGAACTCACAATAGCGTCCTGATTCCATCTGCCATCCAAGGAATAGTTATTGCACACTGTCCCGTGGCTCAGGAAGATAGATTTAGAAATTCTGTCCTTCATTTCCTGGTGTAGAGCCAATGCTTAGGAGAAGTTCAGAATAAGTGAGTTTGTACTTGGAATTTTTGTGTCTCCTTTTTTGTCAGCCACCTACCAGATGCCCTAGCCCCCCAAATATCCCGAGCTCTCAAGATGCTCTAAATTCAACCATTTCCGCACCTCCCCAGGCTTATCCTTAGTAGGTTATGCCTTATAATTATATTTTCCTTCTTCCACCCCAGATCAAAACTTGTATTTGCTTATTACAACAACAGATTACCTAACAAAATTCAGCTTTGTCATGTTTATTTTTTAAAAGGCCACCATTACACATTATTTTTTTATGTCTCATGGCTGGCCAGATAGGACAAAAAAATAGGAATGAATGTGATCTTATTTCAAAAATATTACATTTATAATTTAAACAGTCCACTTTTTAAATACTAAAATATATTAGGAAAGATATGGAGTGGTGTCAGCAAGAAGGCAGAGTAGGAATCCCGGAATTCTCTTCCCCCCCGCCCCCCAACCCCTAAACACACTGATTCAGCAACAATTTACACATGAATTCCCTTTGTGAAAAGTCCAGGAAGTAATTGGAAGGCTCCTGCCCCCTTGTCAACCTAGAGCCAGACTTACCAAAGCTGGTAGGGAGATTCAGGACACCCTCTTGCCAAAGTCATGCCCCTGACCCAGAGCTATACAATCAGGAAAAGGATCCTCGCTTCTCCTGGGAGAGGAAAGGGTTGGTTTGTGTGTCTAGTGCTCCATCTTTTCTGAGGGAGCTCTGACAGGCCCGACAGAGTCGAGCTGGTGGAGCCAAATGGAGATGTGAGCTGGTAGATGCTATAGATCCTCCCCGGCTGCTCAGCACAGATCAAGGGGATGAAAAATCCAAGCTCTCAGCTTATCCCTGGAGAGAGGAAGAGTTGATTCATGCACCCAGTGCCCCAACTCCTCCCAAGCTACTCGAAGAACTGACATCTGTCTTTCCCGTCTTAGAGCGCCAACAGGCTGCACAGTCTAGCTGTCTGGGGTGGGAGACAGTGGTTTGGTTTAGCAGACCATAAGTCCCCTCCTGCTCAGCACAGAGTGAGTGGACAAAAACCACAGTTTCCTGCTTCTCCCTGGGAAGGGGAGGAGTTGGTATAGGACCCCAGAATCTCTGACTGGGCTGAGCGATGGACGCCTTCTCCTGTACAAAGCCAATCCATGAAGACTGGGAGAAGTGTAGGTTTTGTCTAACGCGGGACATCAACACAGAGAGTCAAGGAAACTGAAGAATCGGGCAAAGATATTCCAGACAAAGGAACAAGATAATCTCCAGAAGTATGCCATAGTGAAACAGAGTTATATGATTTACCTGATAGAAAATTCAAAATAACTGTCATAAAGCTGGTCACCAAGGTCAAGAGAACAGTGCATGAACAAAGTGAGGATTTCAACAGAGATAGAAAATGTTTAAAAATACTAAACATAAATGGAGCTGAAAAACACAATAACTGAACTAAACAATTCACTAGAGGTTCAACAGAAGACTAGATCAAGCAGAAGAAAGAAGCAGTGAACTCCCAAGACAGGTCCACAGAAAGGATGAGCTGTTAAATCCATTTTGTGTTATTTTAAAGGGACTGATTGACTACACACATATGCCTTGTCTCAGGTCTACATTTATATGATTTACATTTACTTTTGCAAATCTGTATTATTGAAGGATTACATTAATCTATAACAAAAATATATATATTAAAATGTAATATAATTTTTGGCCTTTGAAACTAGTAATACTTAAAAATTATAATCCCCAGAGTTCACAATGATGTAAGCAAACAAGCATTGTATCATCATTAGTATGACTAAATTATTAAAACCTTCTACAAAGCAGAGTGTCATTATGTATTAAAACTAAATCATAACCTTTGATCAAATCTAGGAATTTGTCTTAAGGAAAGAATTAAGCATCTGTACATAGACTTAGCTATAAAGATGTTCATCACAGCATTGTTTATAGTACAGGCATACCTCGTTTTATTGCACTTCACTTTATTATGCTTCACACATTTTTTTTTTTTTTTTACAAATTGAAGGCAAGATCCTCTACTAGCAAAAAGATTACAACTCACTTTATTGCAATACTCACTTTATTGTAGTAGTCTGGAACCAAACCCGCAATATCTCTGAGATAGGTCTGTAATAAAAAATACTCAGCAATGTTATAACCACACAGTAGTGTACTTAATACCAAAAAAATGTACACATATGGGGAAATAGTCACACTATATTAAGTTAAAAATGCATGCTATACAACAGTATTTGTCTGTTTGGTTGAAAATTGAGTATAAAGTTTAAGATGGTTTATTATGTTTGCCTAATTCTTTTTAACAGCTTTATTCAGATATAATTCACAGGCTGTACAACTCACCCATTTAAAGTGTACAATTAATAGTTTTTAATATATTCAGAGTTGTGCAATTATTACCCCAAAAAGAAACCCTGCATCTCTTAACAATCACTGTCCAAGCCTCCCTTCTCTACCTCCCCGACTCCCACCTTAGGAAACCACTAATCTTTCCATTTTCCATAGATTTGCCTATTCTGGACATATCATATAAATGAAATATATGTTGCCTTTTGTAACTGGCTTTTTTTTAGCATATACTGTCCAAATTTATTCATGTGTCCGTACTTAATTTCCTTTTGTTGCCAAATAATATTCCCATTGTATAGTTATATACCACATTTTGTTTATCCATTCATCAGTTGGTGGATTATTTTGGGTTATTTCCATTTTTTGGCAATTATGAATAATGCCATTAAGTACATTCATGTACGAGTTTTTGTGTAGGCATGTTTTCATTCCCCTTGGGTATATACCTATGAATGAATTAGTAACTCTGTATTTAGTAATTTGAGGGATTGCCATACTGTTTCTCAGTGCACCTGCACTGTTTTACATTCCCACCAGCAGTGTATGAGGGTTATAATTTCTCCACATCCTCACTAACACTAATCTGTCTTTTCAATTATTAGGTGATTTTTTTTCTCTTTTCATGTTTATTTTCTAATTTTCCTATATTCATTAGTCATGTATCATAGGAACAGTTCTTTTAACCTTTTATATTTAACAGTTATATGACTATATTGTTCTAAAAGCCATATAAAGGTTGCAATTTATTTGAACCTTAATATTCTTTAAATGAATAAATTTTATTCTTTGTAGTATACCTTTGGATCATTTTTACATTTTAATAACAACAATATTAAATGCAAACTTCTTTCATGGCTCTGGTGAGGGTTGTTGGCTTGTTAACAAAAACGATAGTAAAGAGGTTAATTTTTTTGTTTAAATTTAAATCAAAGAACAGACTATGTTTTCACAGGAAATACTAATTTGACATGCATTTACCCTATGCATGGTCTCGTTAAAATTATTCTCCTGATTTTCCTAAATCTTCTTCAAATTACTTTGTTTCTTCCCATAAGAAGACTGTACATCCATTTATTTTAGATTGGTATTTACAGTGATAACCCAAAGCCTCCATATTCTTTAAAAAAAAAACTATAGATATAATAGATAAATGATAATTGTATAATTACTGCATGCAGTGGTGTCTTAAGAGAGAATGTTACTTTTTTATAACAAAAAGTAAATCAAGAAAATTTTTGAAAATAATTATTCTTAGTGTTACCACCTTATCACAAGCACTATTTTATTTTAACTGTGAATATTTTCACTAAGTTTGATGCCTTTGAAATATCTGAAATTTCCTAATGTTTAACTTCTTAACATACTTACATCATTACTCCTTCCTTAAATAACCTCACTTTTAATATGTATGTTTTGGCAGAATGAAAACAGTACTATTTTCAAGTGTCCAAATTTTTCCCTAATGTTCATAGCATGGATTCTCTTTTAACAGATGGAAAATGGTTGATCATTACATCAGTCGTGTCCGTGGAAATCTCCAAATGTTAGAACAGCTGGACCTGATTGGGAAAACCAGTGAAATGGCTAGACTTTTTGGCATTCAGTTTTTACATGTACTGACAAGGGGTTCACAGGTAGGAAATCCGTTGTTTTTTTGTTTGTTTGTTTTGCACACTTGCAAGTTCTATGTGAGTGATATACTTATTTTTAAGATGTTTGAGGTGATTTGATTTTTTTCAACTTTCTATCTAGTACCAACTAATACATATAGCTGGTTGATCAAATCTTGTCATTTTATTTTCTGGAAAAGCTTTAATTTCACTTAACAGCTTCACTTCTTATTTTTCTCTTTGTACCAACTTTCTGGCCACTGCTAAGTTTTTCATGGTATTAAGAAAATAAATGACTGTGCCTTTGTAATATTATGTTCCTGAATTTTGTCAGTGTGATTAAGGATGCCGTCAGAGGCCCCTTAGAACTGAGGAAGCAGCAAAGAAAGTCTATGTCTCTTTGGTTTTACATTCCTAATTTTGGCTTGATCCAATTCCCAAGCGAGAACTTTAAAATAAAAAATAAAAAAATGGGGCTGACGGAGCGGCGTGTTGGTTAGGAGTTGGCTTGGGACACCAGCTCTGAGCAGCAGGGCCCCGGTTCGGATCCCACATGAGGGCCAGTGACACTGCCCTCTACAGCTAAGATGATGAACAACAACTCAACCTGGAGCTGGGCTTCTGTGAGTCGCCGGCGAAGGCGTAGGCTTCAGCCCCTGCTGCAGCAGGCTGCCGTGCTACCATGAGTGGCTGGCAGCCCTGAGAGCTGCCAAGAGCCGCCGTGAGCGGCCGTCTGGTGGTGGCCGGTGACCGATCTGCCTCACCCAGGAAGAGCGCAATGATGGTGCCAACATGGGCCAGTGAAGCGACATCCTCCACAACTAGACTGAAGAACAAAAGGACAGCAACTTGTCTGTTCCCCTTCCCTGATTCCCCAGTGCTGTTCTCCTCCCCCAATTCCCCTATAAAATCTTTAAAACAATGAAGGATTTGGAAATCAATATAAGTGGACTCTATCATTTCTTTTTAATGTTAAAGAAAAATGAGATCTTAGAAGCCATTTAATTAATATCTTTCTAACTAATTTCCCAAGGATATAATGAGAGATTTCATCAAATGCCTTGCTGAAAATTATTTTAATTATTTTAATCACTTAATGTCTATAACATTCCCCCAATCTATGAACTCAGTAATTATAGCAGAAATAGAGTTCTGACTACTTTGGTATTACCTGTTAGCTTACAATTTATTTTATTTATTTGTACCTCACATGTTTTAAAAACTCTTTGAACTGGCTTATAATTTAAAAAAAAAAAAAAAGTTTGATACCTGAAAACCACATGAGAACATTTCAGCAAACCCATGCTGAATCTTGCGAGTGCTGTTTTTCTCTAATATTCCAAACCATCTGCTTATTAGCAGTATTGTAAACAATTAGTAATTGCTTGATTCAATTTTGCAAGTATTAAGCTGACTTCCTTTCAATTCTGTAAACCTTGTGTTTCCTTCTTGAAAAATTAAGATAATATTTGTCCATCTCAATTTCCCTGACTTTCATTCTCTAATTTTCTCAAATCAATTTCTCAAAGATTATTGGCTAACTTTTTAAATTGACAAACTGTACAGCTGTCTTTCCTACATCTGTTTGTTGTGATATAGCTGTACTTAAATATAAAGAGAAATCTAATTGTATCTGTCTTTTCAATATTGACTTATGGTGTAAGCATTTTAACATTTTTGCAGTTTTTATAAAAGTTACAGGAATAGGAAAAGGATTTACAAATGCCCCCTTCAGGCACCTAAAAGCTGACTAAATAACCAGTACTATGTAACTGTATTGTACAAATATCATGCAGCTTTATTCTGAAGAGCAAAACATCCCCCGGATGATTATCACATATTCACAAGACTAGTATATTTACATTAAACTGTTTCTTCTTCTCTTCCCACCTTCCCCTCTCTGCCCGCAGTACCGTGTGGAATCAATGATGTTGCGTATTGCTAAACCAATGAACTATATTCCTGTGACACCTAGTGTACAGCAGAGGTCCCAAATGAGAGCACCACAGTGTGTTCCCCTAATTATGGAGCCTGAGTCTCGCTTCTATAGCAACTCTGTTCTCGTTTTGGATTTTCAGTCACTATATCCTTCTATTGTGATTGCATATAACTACTGTTTTTCCACCTGCCTTGGCCATGTGGAGAACTTAGGAAAGTAAGTTTTTTTCTTATTTGTAATTATGTTGTTGTGCTCTATACTTCTTAACTAAAGTTAGACTTTCTTTGAGTGTCTCTGCACTTGAGACTGTCCTAATGAGCAAGATGAATGGGCTGTAGCACAGCTATTGTTATTTTTAGTTACCTTACTAATTGACATGGATCACCATATGACTAATTCAGCATCGTGCATGGATGATGCATATGAAGAAGATTGTCAGTAGATCAGCCTTGCAGCTATGTTTCACTCTCCCTGTATATATCTATGGTCTCTTTTTAAATGAGAGTTATATTTAATTGGTTGATAAAAATCACCTTTTGGTGGAACAGTATGAGGATTATGATCTTGTAACTCCAGCTATCACCTCCTCTTGACTTTTCTTAGAAATAGTTTATGATTTTTCTAAAAAGTTATATTGTTAAAATGTTAGGTTTTAGTTATTCATATTAACGAATTTTATAAGCTAAATGAGAATAACATTTTAAATACTCAAAGGAGTAGATATTTTTCTCATACTATAAGAAATACAGTCTTTAATAATGATTTTTGTGTATTTAAATCAAGTGTTATAGTTTTATCTATAGTATAGTCACTCCTTCATAGAAAGCATTTGTAGAAATTGTATTGGTAATCCTGTCTTTTTATTAAGAAATTTGGAAAATTGCTTACAATCTTTTTATTTAAAAACGGCTTAACTTTTTCTTTAAGGAACTTAGTTTAAGGTAATCATATGTTGAGTTGAAATTTGGTATTTCAGCACAGATATTTTTACCCATAAATTTTAGGATAGTGACATTTAAGAAATATTTATTTTAACCAATTGTGGATATTTAAAGAACTGCTTTTTGGTAATGAGACAAATAAATGTATTACTAAGTACACAAATTCATGTTTTGATATTTGAAAATGAATTTCTAATGGAATTAGATTCCTGAAATCGCTTAGAATCTCTTTTCTATGATTTGAGAAAGTATTTGCTTAATGTTTTTTTTCTTAACAGGTATGATGAGTTCAAGTTTGGCTGTACCTCTCTAAGAGTACCTCCAGATTTACTTTACCAAATTAGGCATGATATCACAGTGTCCCCCAATGGAATAGCTTTTGTCAAGGTAATACTCTCTTGTAAATGAAAGGTATCAACTGTGGCTTATATAGAACTAATGGTTTAGATGTTGTTGACCTATAATACAGAAAAAAAATTAAGTTTGCTTGAATATCTTGTCTCAGAAAGTCCAGGATATAGGAATCTTCTAAGAAATCAATTTTAAAAACTCAGTCATCTTGTTCTACATGAATTTAGGTTTAAAATCTTTTAATTGTTAGATTTTAGTTTTTAATGAAATATTGAAAGAAATAATGTACACATATACCTTCTGCCCTCTGTTAGAATCTGGAAGACTTAACTCTAGCTATTTGATGATAATAGGATGTTAACTTATAAAGATGTAAATTGCTTTAATGTGTAAACTCTAATTATTCTACATTATTTTAAATTAAATTAAGACTATCAGAAATAACGATGCTCTTACTTATTGAGTGCATTTTAAAGAACATACCCAAACTAATAATAGGATCTCTTTTTTTCTCTACCTTATCTCCCCTCAAAAGAGACTGAGGAAATGCTCATAAATGAATACATTAAGGACAAATAGGAGATCTAGGAGAAGGTTACATTGCCACTCATATGCCAACTTCATTCCTTTCTTTTCTGGTTTAGCAGTGAGTCTGTACTAGAACCATGGGACAGTAGGGTGTTGATGATAGCATGGACCTCGCTAGCCCTCAAATTCATTCTGGTGTACTTTAGCAAAAGTGGCATCGTTCTTCACCAGCAGGAAGATGCTATATTTGAAGAATACCCTAAAATTAGCCATGTAGATATGAGGAAAATTTTTACCAGAGAGTTGATAATATATTCCTTTTGGGGAAATAGTATGTCTTCACATTATGACATATAGCCTAACATAAACATTATGGCTTCTTCAGAATGTACACAGAATGAATTAGAGGTTAAAATACGTTTTCATTGTAACATATCTAGCAGCTTATTATATCTCCCTTTAACAGCATTTTTAAAACTTGCATCTACATTTTGACCCGATGTGTAAGTTTAATGAAAATAAGATTTTTTTTTAATATTCAGGAGTGTGATTATCCTGTACCTGAAGTTTTAATTGTTCAGTCTGACATGCACTATTACCTTGCATGTGTCTGTGAATCATCTTCAAAGTTAATACTGTTTTGTGGTTTTCATTCCTACTGGAGTTCTCATAAATTCTCCCTAGTCTTGATTAATACAAATGATTTTTTTTTTTGGCATCAACAAATTTTATCACCTCACTATTCATCCCCTCTTCCAGATTGCTAATAAATATAGGCCGGAGGGGATGGCTTAGTGGTCTAAGCATCAGATTTGAAATACCTAGAGTTCCTGGAACTGCAGGTTTGAATGTCAGCAGAGTCAACCCAGCTCATCATTCTTCCAAGGTAGATAAATGGAGTTCATGCAGATTACGGGGTCATTAGGATGAGATCTTTAAAAACGGAGGTTTGTTATGAGTGATACAAATCCCATGTGTCTTTCTGAAAGAGTGGGGGTTTGGATCAAAGTTTTGAACAAAAGTTTCCTCTGAACTTATTGTATGGTCTCTTATGCACTAGTTGATATCCTCCTCCCTGGAGGTCTTTGAACTCACATAATAGTGCTTCATTAGATTTATAAACATTACAGGAACCTTTTAGGAGAAAAGTCCTCTTCAAAAGAAAGAAACTGTGATGATTTTGTATTGATGGCCACTGGTCCTGTGGCCACTCTATTGTTAGTATGTTTCAATTCGTGACAGTTGGCTGTTGTTATACTTTGTGCTTCCTTCTTAATTATCTAAATCTGTAATGTCTGAAGGATTTTAAACATTTTTTTTTCCTTTATGATAGCCGTCAGTCAGAAAGGGTGTGCTACCAAGGATGCTTGAAGAAATTTTGAAGACTAGACTCATGGTGAAGCAGTCAATGAAGGCTTACAAGCAAGACAGAGCCCTTTCACGAATGCTCGATGCACGTCAGCTAGGACTTAAACTTATAGCAAATGTCACATTTGGCTATACAGCTGCTAATTTTTCTGGGAGAATGCCATGCATTGAGGTAAGTGATAACAGCTCTGTAGTTTTTTCAAGAGACTAAAGCCAGCATTAAATGAACACCTTTTCATTAAAGCTGTTTTGCTGTAAAACTTGAAAGGGTTTCATGTCCATGGCATATGATGAGTTTTTCTCAAACCAGGGCTTATATACATGCATAGTCTTAGGGATTTGTGGGTTTTCTCTATGAAGACTCTTTGCGTCTTCATTTCACTGATAACTTTAGAAATTAGCATACACATATTCTACATAATCTAGATGATCATATTGTAACCAACTAATAGCATGAAATTTTAGTGCCACATTTATAGCAATGTTTACAACAACCTTGGTACTAAATCTTTTTAATGTATTGATAGAGATCTGATGATAGTTAGGTTGCTTCTCCAAATGTCAGAATGAATAACAATCATTTCATATTTACTAGTGTACCAGTAGATATAAAGCAATACCTTTCTTTTACAGTGGTAGTTGCAACTGAAAGACACTTTTCATAGAACAAGACTAACTTCTTGTTATTTACTAAATTAGCATGTTAATTTGACATGAATACAATATAGTATAACAGAATAATATAATTTACTAATGATTGAGAAAAGAACAAAGTAAATTTGTTTTGTTGGTGATATCTTCATGTCAGATGGAGGCCAGAACATTGTGGTATACCATAGTTGTAATAGTTCAATAAGGAAAAAGCAGTGGAAGAATTAAGTTACCACCAGCTCACAGTAGGCAAAGTGAACTCCAAAAGCCTGCACAAGGGACTTCCAGTTTCAGGTCCAGCATATAAGAAGCTTGAAGTCACCACTCTATCCTCACAAGTAAAAAGCTGAACAAACTGAAAAGTCAACAACTCTTCATAGATCCATTAGAGAAGTGAGGTCACAGGGCAAAATGCTGCCCCCAAAATTGAAGAGACGAACAAGTGAACGATAAAGAAATCGCAGCGTACCAGAGCACAAACCGCCATACGAACCAGTGCGAGGTAGGAAACCTGAACTATAAATGATGAGTTGCTGGAGGCTCACTGTGGACAAGTCTGACAGAGAAAAACTCCAGAGGACCCAGTCATCAAGGCCCACACTTCTGTAAAATTTGCCTCTTAAGAGCTCAACCAGGTTCTCACAGTGAGAACTGGAATTGGAGAAAATTCCCTTGTGCTTTTGGCATGGGGGACACACACACACACACACACACACACACACACACGACATTTAGAAATATGCCAGAGCATTCTCTTAACAATGTCTGCCCTCAGGAGAAACTGTTTAACCAGTGCCTAACCTGCTAGAGTTGGTCAGAGCCTAATTAACCTGGAGAAAGGAAATACCCAACTCCAACTACTCTAGTTTTCCATATAGAGGAAAGGAAATACTCCACTCCACTCTAGCCATCTGTCCCACCAAAGGGGCGAGAAAACTTAGAAGCACATGAAGTCCACAGGTACAGGCTCACTGAAAGACTGAGACCTACTCATGGGACTACAGAACACTTCCCCTTTCCACACCTCACCACCACATTACGAGCAGCCTATTAATAGCAGTTCCTTCTACCTAATACATCATGCCCAGATATAAAAAAAAATTACAAGACCTACTAAAAGCCAAAAGGCACAGTTCAAGGAGACAGAGCAAGCATCAGAACCAGACTCAGATATGGCACAGATGTTGAAATTATCAGACTATGAATTTAAGACAACTGTGATTAGGATGCTAAGAAGGCTAATGGATAAAAGTAGACAGCATGCAAGAACAGAAGGGCTATGTAAGCAGAAAGATGGAAATTCTTAGGAACCAAAAAGAAATGCTAGATCAAAACACTAACAGAAATGAAGACTTCCTTCGATGGGCTTATTTATACCTGACATGGCTGAGAAAACAATCTCTGACCTCAAGGAAATCTCAATAGAAATTGCCAAAACTAAAAAATAAAGAGAAAATAAAAGACAAAATAGAAAACAATATCCTAAAGCTGTGGGACAACTAAAGAAAGTATAACATATATGTAATAGAAATTCTAGACTGAGAAGAAAGAGAGAAAGGAACAGAAGAAATAAATTTCAAACAATTGACTGAGAATGTCCTCAAATTAATGTTAGACACCAAACCACAGATCCAGGAACTTCAGAGAATACCAAACAGGATAAAGGATATCATTTTTATACTAAAGAAAATCAACAATAAATATAATCCTAAATTATATTTATTAAAATTAATTTAAAATCCTGAAAGAAAAAAAAAATCCTGAAAGAAGCCAGAGGACAAAAACACCTTACCTATAGAGAAGCAAAAATAAGAATTACATTCAACTTTTCCTTGGAAATCATGTAAGTAAGGAGAAAATGGAATTAAATATGTAGTGTTGAGAGAAAAAAATTCTCCAACCTAGAATTCTGTACCCTGCAAACTTATCATTCAAAAGGGAAGGTAGAATGGAAGATTTTTCAGACACAAAAAATTTGAGGGAGTTTGTTGGCAGGAGACCTGCCTTGCAAGAAATACTAAGAAGTTCTTTAAAGAGAAGGAAACTGAGATCTACATAAAGAATGGAAGAGCATCAGAGAAGGAATAAGTTAAAATAAACACATTTTTCTTTCTTATTCTTAATGTAACAGATAAGTTTATTCAAAATAATAGCAACAATGTATTTGATTATGTATGTTTATGAATATATGTATACTTATATATAAGTAAAATGAATGACAGAAATGATACAAGGGATGGGAGGGAGGAACTAGGATTATTTCATTATAAACTACTCACATTACCTGTGAAGTGGTATAGTGGTATTTGAAAGTGGTATATTGGAAGTAAGCGTGTATTGTAAAATCGAGGGCAACCACTATAAAAAGTAAAAAAAGAAATAGAACTGATATCTAAGACAGGAAAGAAATAGAATCATATAAAATAGTCAAAACCACATGCAAGGCAGAAAAAGAGTAGAAAACAAAAATGGAACAAAAAATAAGGGCAACAAATAAACAATAAAGAAAATCAGTAAGGGTATAGTTGAACTCAACACAGTCAGGTCAACTGGATGTAAGGGGCATTTATAGACTGCTTCACTCAACACCTGGAGAATACACATTCTTCTCAAGCTCGCATGGAATGTGAAGCTAGACAACATTCTGGGCCATAAAACACACCCTAACAAATTTAAAAGAATATAAATCCAATGGTGTCTATTTTCAAATAATAGTGGAATTACACTAGAAATCAATAACAGAGCTGGAAAAAAACAAAATGGAGATTAAATAACACACTTCTAAATAACACATGGGTTAAAGAAGAAATCTGAAGATAAATTAAAAAGCATTCTGAACTGTTGGGTTGTCGGAAGTCATGATGCATTTTTGCAAGGAAAACATAGAAAGAATACGTCATGACTTTTCCGACAACCCAATAAATGAAAATGCAGCTTATCACAATTTGTGGCAATCAGTGAAAACAATGCTTAGAAGGAAATTTGTAGTATTGAATGCCTATATTAGAAAAAGAAGAAAGATCTAAAGGTAGTCATCTAAGCTTCCAACTTAGGAAACTAGAAAAAGAAGAGCAAATTAAATCCAAAGTAAGCAGAAAAAAAGAAATAATAAAAATGACAGCAGAAACCAATGTAACTAAAAACAAGAAATCAATTGAGGAAATCAACCCAAAAGCTTAGTTCTTTGATAAGATCAATAAAATTGATAAACCTCTAGGTAGCTTCACCAAGAAAAAAGAACACAGATTGCTAATATCAGAAATGAAAGTAGGAACATCACTTCAGTTCCCTGGACATTTTAATGAATGTTAAAAGAATAACAAAAGAGTACTATGAACAGAGATTTGATAACCTAGATGAAATGGGCCAATTACTTGAAAGACATAATCACCCTAAACTCACACAAGAAATAGACAATCTGAATAGACCTATATCTATTAAAGAAATTGAATCAATAATTAATAACCTTCCAAACAGAAAGTACTTGACCCAGATGGATTCACTGGTGAATTCTACCGAACATTTTTGGAAGAAATTATACCAATTCTCTACAATCTATTTCTAAAGATACAAGCAGAGGGAATACTTCCTAACTCATTCAATGAGGGCAACATTACCCTAATACCAAAAACCAGATAGACTTACAAGAAAGGGGGAAAAAAACATGTAGACCAAGGTCTCTCAATAGATGCAAAAATCCTCAACACAGATTAGCAAATCTAAACTAACAATGTATAAAAAAAATTATACACTACAGCCAAGTGGGATTTAACACAGGTATGCAAGGCTGGTTCAATATTTGAAAATCAGTTAATGAGATCAATCACATCACATACAGGCTAAATAAGAAAAATGCACATGATCATACCAATAGATGCAGAAAAAGCATTTGATAAAATCTAATACCTAGTCATGATTTTTAAAAAAAAACAAACCTACAGCTAACAACATCACACTTCTCGAAAAACTTGAAGCTTTCCCACTAAGATCAGGAACAAGTCAAGGATGTCCCCTCTCACCACTGCTTTTCAACATCACACTGGAAGTCCTAGCTAATACAGTAAGAGAAGTAATGGAAATAGAAGATACACAGATCAGGAGGAAAGAGATAAAACTGTCTTTGTTTACAGATGAAATAATTCTCTATGTAGGAAATCCAAAAGTATTGACAAAAATCTCCTGAAACTATTTAAGTAATTATAGCAGGGTTTCAAGGATACAAGGTTAATACAGTAGTCCCCCCTTGTCCACAGTTTTCACTTTCTGTGTTTTCAGTTACCCACCATCAACCACAATCCAAAAATATTAATTAGAAAATTCCAGAAATAAACAATTGATAAGTTTTAAATTGCACACCATTGTGAGTAGCAGCATGCTGTCCCACTCCCCCCACCCCAGCTGGGACGTGAATCATCCTGTTGTCCAGTGTGTCCACTCTGTATATGGTATCCTCTGGGCTAGTCACTCAGTAGCCATCTCAGTTATCAGATGAACTGTCATGGTATCACAGTGCTTGTGGTGAAGTAACCCCTATCATCAGAAGGGTCATTAGCACCACATCACAGTATCCCTGTCATTCACTCACTTCATCTCATCACACAGGCATTGTATCATCTCATGTCATTATAAGAAGGGTGAGTACGGTACAATACGATTTTAAGAGACACCATGTTCACATACCTTATTAAGAGTATATTATAATCGTTCTACTTTATTACTAGTTACTCTTGATCGCTTACTTTGCCTAATTTATAAATTAAACTTTATCATATGTGTGTATGGAAGAAACAGGATGTAGTACTATGCATGATTTCAGGCATTCACTGGGGGTCTTGGAGCATAGCCTTGCGGATAAGGAGGGACTGCTGTACACAAAGGTCAATCACTTTCCCGTATACCAGCAATGAAGAAGTAGAATTTGAAATTAAAAACACAATACCATTTATATTAACACCCCTCAAAATGAAATGCTTTTGGTGTAAATCTAAGAAAATATGTACAAGATCTATATGAGGAAAACTACAAAGCTCTGATGAAAGAAATCAAAGAGCTACTAAATATATGGAAAGATATTCCATGTCCATGGACAAAAAGAGTCAGTATTGTCAAGATGTCAGTTGATCTATAGATTCAGTGCAAACCCAGTCAAAATCCCAGCAAGTTGTTTTGTGGATATTAACAAACTGATTCTAAAGTTTACACGAAGAGGTAAATGATCCAGAATAGGCACAAGGTTTCCTTTTCTCCACATCCTTGCCAACACTCTGTTTCTTTTCAGAGAATTTTTACTTTAAATAATTTTCTTGTTACGACTTTTCAGGATCCCAGCCATTATTTTCCTCTTTTTATATCCAATCTCTTATCCCTTTAATGAAGCAATGTTTTTCAAATTAGAAAACATGGCACAAAGTATCAGAATCAATTTTAATTTAATTGCTGTTCCTTCCCTCTTCCCCCTCACCCTCATGCCACTGAATCCTTCACACTGCATGGTCTTCACGGGTAGCTGCAGGGGCTCTGACTCCCAGGTGTCCCATTGAGTCACAGTGGGCAGCAGGAGGCAGGCATTTAGGATCAGTGTGTGCATGTATCTCAAAAGCACACTCAGTTCCGACACTGGATGGCTCACCCATACAGCTTATTGGCCATCACATATTTTAAAGTTTACCTTGTTTGAAAGTGGCAACAGGGCCAGCCAAGTGGCACATTGGTTAAGAGCTGGCTTGGGACGCCAGCTCTGAGCAGCAGGGCCCCGGTTCGGATCCCATATTAGGGCCAGTGATGTTGCGCCCTCTACAGCTAAGATGGTGAACAACAGCTCGACCTGGAGCTGGGCTGCTGTGAGTTGCTGGCGATGGCGTAGGCTGCAGCCCCTGCTGCAGTGGGCTGCTGTGAGCTACTGTGAGTGGCTGGCAGCTGGCATGAGCAGCCAGCAGCCAGCGTGAGCTGCCAAGAGCTGCCATGAGTGGCTGTCCAGTGGCCGGCGACCGATCTGCCTCACCCGGGAAGAGCGCAATGGTAATACCAATATGGGCCAGTGAAGCAGCGTCTTCCACAACTTAGATTGAAGAACAAAAGAACAGCAACTTTTCTATTCCCCTTCCCTGATTCCCCAATGCTGTTCCCCTCCCCCAATTCCCCAATAAAATCTTTAAAAAAAAAAAAGTGGCAACAAATGATAGATTAAACATTTTATTAAAAGTTGAATTTCTGATGCACTAAAGGTCTCAACAGAATTCATGATCTTAATTTAAAACCCAAATTAAGTTTCTGCTACAAGATTTTTAAATTTATTCCTTTGTTCATACACCTAATATTTCCTTTGTAAAGCAACTTTAAACAGCCTTTTAAATAGTATTTAATCCTACATTTAGTTCACATAATTCAAACTTGCAGTAAAAGGGGAAGGATCATTATAACTATTGTTTGCTTCTTAACATGAAAGAAAAGTACATAATTCTTATTTTAAATTTTTAAAAAGAATGCTCCGTTTGTGCTGAAGGGCAATTTTTCCCAACTCTTAGCTTTAATGAGTTTAATAAATGAAGCATTAATGTTTCCTTAATTTACTTAACTATGAAACAGAATTAGCTTGTTTCTCATATTTGTCAAGACCTACCATCTTTTTGTTTTGTCATCTTTGCCACAATCATTGTTAAAACTCCCCACTCACCAATGAAAGAACCCTTTCTAGACATAGGTCTGCCTATTTGATTTAAATTGAACACTTGTAATATATGTTCCATCATATAATTCTACACTTTTCTTTGTTTTTTAGTATTATGTATAACCAGTTACTGAGATTTCCATTCATTACCTCTAATGATACTGAAAGAAATTATCACAACATTCCAACAAAATTTTGAAAGATACACATACACATACTCATGCATATACACAGAGTAATTTCCTGCCTAATTGGATACAAAGACATACAAGAAAGTCCTTGTATAAAGTGCAGTCCATTGTACTTACTGATACACTCACAGCTAAGTCTCTATAGTGATTGGTTCCTTCTTTTAAATTCTTCATCTGTCTCATTTTCTTGAGTACTTATACAATGATGACACTGGTGACTACTTTTGTTTTCCTTTTTATGTTCTTTGTTTCATTTTTGGAAATATTAATTAAAATTAAGTTTTATATGTTAGTCTGTTGACTTACTAAGCTGTGTTACAAAATTATTTCCAATGTGTTTTTACCTACAGGTTGGTGATAGTATTGTTCACAAAGCAAGAGAGACGTTGGAACGAGCTATTAAACTGGTGAATGATACCAAGAAATGGGGTGCAAGGGTTGTATATGGTGATACTGACAGGTAATTAACTTCCTATTTTGTAGTTGTCTTTTTACATCTCTTCAGATACTCATTTCAGTGTTTAGAGTGGCTTAAGGTTAATCCTCCCTAAAAATAGAGTTTTACCTACATCCTTTCAGTTCTTATTATTCTCATGATCAGAGTCAGCACAGGTCCTGACTTACCAGATATGATCTTAAGAGAAAATGTAAGTGTCCTGAGCCACAGACTGTGAAAATTCCCATGTAACCCCTCCTGGTAGACAAGTAGATAGCGATCTGTAAAAACTGTATACACAGGAGTCTAGTCTTTTTAAAGAAACAGTTTTTAATGTGAAGAAGTCCTCATATAGTTGTAGCTCTCGAATTTAAATATATATCTTAACACTTTCAATGCGTTAATTGATTTCAAGTTTTCAAAATGTGTCAAAAATCCACAAAAAAATAATAAGTTGCTATTTTGACTGTTTTATGCATTTAATAACATTTTCAGCTGCTTTGTACATAAATCACATTATTTTAAACCTTTGTTATATGGTAATAAATTTACCATTATATTGAATTTTAGCAAAAAACACTCAAAACATACTCAGTGGCATCAATTAGACTTAATTATAGATAAATTAGAATCTACTGGCTTTGATGACATAAAAAATTTATTACAAAATATTACACAATATGGAATACATAACATCTTTGTTGTTAATTGTGCAAGCCACAAGAAAATATATCGGAACATTGCAGCAAAAGAGTTAAAATAATCAACTGTTTTTGAAAGATAGTTGCCAAAGCTGTAAGTGGTTAACTTTTTACTAGGTCCCAAAATATGTTAGAGCAAATTTTATTATAATCTTTTTAAAAACTAAGGCTATGTTGGTGTAATATGTATCAGATGGGCCTAAAAAGTACATTATAAAAAGCTTCAAGTGGTTCAAAATATAGACTAGCTTAAAGGTATAAATAACTATCAAAGGCCTGTTTGTTTTGCCTTAGTGAATGTTAAAATTAATTCAGATTGAGACCATTTTTATTTTAAAGACCTTAAGTAATATTGAATAAATACTCCTTTACTTAAGCTTTTCATATCAGACTCTAAGACAGGTACTGTCTCCAGTATTGGCAGAGCGAGAGCTTTTCCAAAGAAACCAAATGAGATTTAAAGTCCAATATAAAAACACTTAAGAAACATGAGATTGGTTTATGTGGCTCTATGACTAGAAACAAAAAAATCTTAAAATCATGTTTCAAGATATTGTCCATTTCCACTATTTAATGTTTTTCTACTAAAATTATAAGTGAATATCAACTTTATAATCTCATTTAAATATATTTATTAGCCATTATTTCTGTTGGTCTCAGATTGTGGTATATATTGAAATGTAAAGTGCTCTTATAAAGTTAACTGGATTATATTAGGAAAACCTACCCAATACTTTTGTTTTATGAATTACTTTTGAGTATTTTTTTGTATTGGAATATTTTATCTATATTAGAGTCTTCCCTCTTGACCTGTATATATTGCTGGCGAGATTGTACATCAGAAATACCTTTCTGAAATGCAGTTTTACAGTATCTTTCAAAAAATATTTTTAGTGTACACCATTCATCAAGAAATTTCACTTCTAGGAATTTATTCTGAGGTCACAATTAGAGGTATGCCAAGTTATTATATGTAAAATGTTAGCAAAAAAATTTAATAATCTAAATTTTCAATGTAGTTTGGTTAAATTATATCTATACACTGAAATACAGTACAACTTTAAAAATAATGTAAAAGAACTAAGTGACACAGAAAATGTTCACAATATACTATTAAAGGAAAGGAGAAAGTTACCAGATGAAAGGAGAAAATTATCAAATAGTATGATCTGTGATCCCAAGTGAGAAAAGATTTACAGATATGTATAAGAGGTTTGGTGTGTCTTTTTTCTGAATGGTAAGATTATATAGATGGCTGTTTTCTTCTTTGTGCCTTCTTGTGTTTTCTAACTGTTCTTCAGTAAACAAATATTACAAAATATATGTGTGTCTTTTTTAAGTTGGGTGGTTCTGGAAGGAGATTTCCTACCGCATCACAAGTAAATTTTCCTTTCTTTATACTCACATTTTGCCTTATTTTATGATTGATCAAATTGTGCTGCACACAAATCCGTAAATGTCTAGGAATGGCCGAGGAGGAACTGCTTGGCAGCTGTGATAACTGAGCTGGTCTGTGTGTAACTAAACTAGAAATATTAGATGTCTTAAAGAGCTGTAACAAGATATACCATGAGTACACAAGGAAAGTGTGATAAAACAAGAAAGCTTAGATAGGAAACAACTTAATAAGGAAGAATAAGGAGGGGGAAAGGTTTCTTTGGTATTAGACAGAGTGTTAGCCAGGAAAGTTACTCTTGATGAAATTTTTTTCTTACAATGACTTCTTCATTACCCTACTCTATTTTTAATCCTCTAGTATGTTTGTGCTACTGAAAGGAGCTACTAAGGAGCAGTCTTTTAAAATTGGTCAGGAAATTGCTGAAGCTGTAACTGCTACCAATCCAAAACCAGTGAAATTGAAATTTGAAAAGGTAAGAGAAGTGTAATACTAATGACCACATATAAAATTCACATACCTTCTAGACATTTCTGACTTGTTCAATATGTTTTCAGACTCATTATATGGGTCTAGTAAGTGTTATATTTAAAATGTTTTCCCTTACCATTGTGTAATTTTCTTAGATGTTTTTAGTAACATCTTAATGTAAAGAAATGAAAAGTTGTTCCAGTTAACCGTTGCTATGTAACACACTACCCGAAATGTAGTGGTGTCAAACAACCACCACTTTATTATGCTTACAGATTTTATGGGTCAGGAATTTAGAAAGGTTGCAGCAGAGATGGTGTGTCTCTGCTCCATATTGTCTAGGTCCTTAGCTAAGAAAACTTAAGAGGGTGAAGGTGACCCAACTGGCCGCTAAGGGCTGAAATCACCTGCAGCTTGCTCACTCTCGTATCTGAGGGCTGATGCTGGCTGCTGTTTGGGACATCAGTCGGGGCTATCAGCTGGAAGATCTACACATGGCCTTTCCCTGAAACTACTTTTTCTTCCTCACAGCACGATGGTTGAGCTATAGGAATGAACATCCCAAAGAGAGACAGGGTATGGAGTGGGAATACAGAGTAGCAGGAGAGATGTCTGGAAAAATAAAGTTAAAACCAGATTGTAGAGTATCTTGAATTCCCAGCTAAAGTGTTTAAACTTTATTCAGGAAAGTTTATCAAACAAGAGCATGACTTGAGCAGAGCTGTTTGGGGAGGGCTGGCCTCGTGGTGGTGTAGGAGATGGATTGGGAAGAGGGGAACCTCCAGACAGGATGCCTTTTGCAACCTGTAGAGCCTGAACTAGAGAAATGAACTAATGAAAATAAAGGACAATTGAAGAGATGCTGAGAGAGAAGGACGGGTAGGAGTTAGAAGTGGTTGGTTTAGGAGAGCTAGTACGGGAAAGATGAAGGAAGGAGAAAAGAATCAAATGACGCCCAAATGTTTAGTGTGTACCTACTCTGAAGCAAGAGTTACACTAGAAGAGATTCAGAGAGGACTTGGATATGATATCTGCCCTGAAGAGAGCATTGTAGCTGGGGATGGAGGAGAGAAAAATTAGAACTAGAGTGATAATGAGTGCTGTCCCAGAAGAATGTGTGTGGTGCTGTGGGCACTCAGCCACCTGGCAAAGTAACAAGCTTGTGTGCTTAGAAAAGAACACCAGACATGAAAATTTCCCTGAAATAGGTCACAGACCTCAACATAAAAAGTAAAAACTGAAAAACTTCTCAAAGAAAACAAACATTTGTTAAGATTGTGGTGCTTATGTTCATGACTACTATTGGTCTGTAGTTGTCTGGCCTCATAAAATGAGTTGCAAGTGTTCCCTCTTCTATTTTCTGAAAGAAAAAGTGTGTAAGAGTAGTACAATTATTTCTTTCTTAAATAGTTGATAGAATTTACCATTGGAGCCATCTGCTCCCCTGAAATTTTATGGGGGGGTGTAATTACAAATTAAACATCTTTAATACATATTGAATTATTCAGGTTTTCTTTTTATGTCAGTTTTGATAACTTGTGGTTGTCAAAGAATTTGTCCGTTGCTCCTAAGTTGTCATGTTTACTGGCATGAATTATTTATACTTTACTGTGATTTTGATATTGGTACATTTTTAGTGACATCCATCCTTCCACTTTTTTTTTTTTTTTTAAGATTTTATTGGGGAATTAGGGGAGGGGAACAGCACTGGGGAATCTGGGGAAGGGGAACAGACAAGTGCTGTTCTTTTGTTCTTCAGTCTAGTTGTGGAGGATGTCGCTTCACTGGCCCATGTTGGTATTATCATTGCGCTCTTCCCGGGTGAGGCAGATAGGTCGCCGGCCTCTGGACGGCCGCTCACGGTGGCTCTTAGCAGCTCACACCAGCTGCTGGCCACTCACGGTAGCTTATGGCAACCCACTGCAGCAGGGGCTGCAGACTATGCCGTTGCCGGCGACTCACAGTAGCCCAGCTCCAGGTCGAGCTGTTGTTCAGCATCTTAGCTGTAGAGGGCGCAGCGTCACTGGCCCTAATGTGGGATCCGAACCGGGACCCTGCCGCTCAGAGCTGGCGTCCCAAGCCAGCTCTTAACCAACGCGCCACTCAGCTGGCCCCATCCTTCCACTTTTAATATTAATTTTTCTCCTTCCTTGATCATTCTAACTAGAGGTTTATCCACTTATTGAACCTTCTAAAAAACTATTTCATTAATTTCCACTCTTTATTTCCTTTCTTACACTTACTTTGGGTTTAGTTTGCTTTGCTTTTCCTGACTTCTTAATTAAGAAACTTGAATCATTAATTTAAAACAAACATATTTTTAATATAACGGTTTAAAGATACAACATTCCTTCTAAATACTACTTTAGCTTTAAATTTCCATATCTTTTGTTTGCATTATTAATCATTTGCTTCAATGATAATGACCCAGAAGTTATTTAGAAGTGTGTTAAGTTCCAAATATTTAAGGACATTCCAGAAATCTTTGTGTTACTACTCCAAATTTAATTCCATTATGGTCAAAGAACATGCTCTGTATGATTTTAGTGCAGCATATGGCCTGTCTTAGTGAATGTTCCCATGTGACCTCGAAAAGCATGTGTATTTTGGTTATTAGGTGGAATGTTTTATAAATGTCACTTAATTGATAATGTTGAAGCCTTCTGTGTTCTTACTGATTTTCTAAGAGAGAGGTGTTAAAATCTCCAAGGATAATCATGGATTTGCTTTTTTCTTCCTTTTAGTTCTGTCAGTGTCTAACATTTTGAAGTTTTCTTATTAGGTGCATACACGTTTAGGATTGTATATCTTCCTGATAAATTGATACTTTTATCTTTGATAATATTCCTTGTCTTGGAATCTACTTTTCTGATATAAATAATAGCCACTGCAGCATTGTTTTGATTAGTGTTAACCTTTCAATGTCCTTATATTAAATTGGATTTCTAGTAGGTAGCTTAGAGTTGAGCCTCACTTTTTAATCAGATCCAATCTGATAATTTCTGCCTTTTAATTGGGATGGTTAGACCATTTATATTTATTGTGATTATTGATAAGGCTTGCGGGCAGAGGAGAGGATCAATTTGGTAACTCAAAAAAAGGGAGAGGGCACATACCTACAGTGATATAGGAATTCCACTTCAAGGAATTTCCCTGTGGATTAGTCCATGCGTGAAACACTATTTGTAATTCTAAAAGATTGTAAACATCCTAAATGATCCATAGTAGGTAACTGGGTACATACATTATGATACCCGCACATAATGGACTATTCTCTCCAAGATAATTATTAAATGAAATAAGCAAAGTGCAGAATGATGTATGTGGTAAGCTACCATCATGTATTTAAGTACATGTATTTGGATAGACTATTCTCTGGAAGGATACACAGAGGATGCCTCCAGGAAGGGGAAAATAAAGCTTGGGGTACCATGGCTTTTCAATGTATATTCTCTTATAACTTTTTACTTTTGTACATTGTGTAGATGTAAAAAATTATATGTAATTTTTTCATTGTTTAAAAAGATATGATGACTTTTGAGAGCGCAGTGTCAGTTGAGGAAGAAGCAAAATTGATAGTACAAGTAAAGGAGTGAATGATGAAGAAGAAATAAAGGCAACTCACTTTGTATGCTTTCACTTCTAAGTTTTGTATCATGAATTTGTTGGGCTCTCAGCCACACTTAGAATTTTTCTATAATTTACATTTTGTTAAAGGGAGAAAAAGACATAAAAATAAGATATTCATGGTAGGGGAAAAAAATGGTTATTGAGAGGCATTTTGTTAATTTCATCACAGGTATATTTGCCCTGTGTTTTACAAACAAAAAAGAGGTATGTGGGTTATATGTATGAAACACTGGATCAAAAGGACCCGGTATTTGATGCAAAAGGAATAGAAACAGTCCGAAGAGATTCCTGCCCTGCTGTTTCTAAGGTAAGTTTTACCCATCTTGTTTTCATCTTTAAGCAATAAGTGGCTAAAGAATCCGGTGAAAATCCTTAAGCACACAAGTAGGTGGAGGAACTGTAGCCTTTAGGGCTATATATTAATGTAATAGAAACTAAATGATTTTTGAGAATTTCATTTCTAATGAAACAACTTATTTGATTTTAGTCCTTAGTTTCTAACTTCTTCCCTTTTATCACATTTGCTGAAAAACAATACATGAACGTGATAATTTCCTGCCTGTCATCTGGAGATGATGTGATATGCTATCGTCTGACAAGACCCAAAAGCTAGGGAGCCGGATAAAGAAGAGAAACCAGAAACAGATATTTCATAAGCAATATAATCCATCCTAAATGAACTGAAAGTTTGTTTACTTGGGTTATCAAATACAAGTTAGGACGATTTCTGAACAGTGGTACTACAAATTACCTAAGTTTCTCAACCATAGTAATTTTAACCGTAGTATTTTATATATTTAATTTTTCCTTACTCAGGCCCAGAGTCCTATAACAAACCAAAAATAGATGGTATAAATAGAAAACACTACACACTGAGTTTTATGAGATCATTAAAAGCACAATAGATTATGTCAGTATGTCAGTATATTATGTCATATGTAATGTTATATGAACTTGAGATGTTATTTAATAGTAATTTCTGGAAGGGATAACCATCGAGTGCATTCTTTCTCATTCTCTGAGGGCAGAATGATAACCTAGGCTAAATTAATAAACTTCCTGTGTAAATATGTATGGGTTCTAGTACTCAGAATAAGATACAGAAGTTTGACCTACAACTAACTTAAATTCAATCCGCTCCATAAATCCACTGTTTGATGGTCACTTCCTAGTAGAGATATTTCCAGTTAGTATATTGACACTATAAAAAGACTGATTTTGATTTCACTGCTTGGTGATATTTAAACTTCTCTCTGTCCACCTGAATCAGCCCTTTCAATAACAGGATAAATAAAAAACAAATCATGGAATCATGTTTGGCTTCCTGTGCCTAGAGTGCTTTTGCCTGTTTTAAGAAAACGTAAACGTTTCATGTTGCTTATCACATAGCAAATGTTTCACCTGCGTGTCATTATGATATCATTTTCCTCAAACTACATGATGTTCTGTTTTTAGAAATAGCAAGCCAACATATTTTCCAATTTCTAGTAATTTTTATTATCCAATCATCTTAAATAGCAGATTGTTTAGGTAGATCAGCAAGCTACCCAGTAGTTACATAATTGAAAATATAACAACAATGATGATAATGCTAGGGGATATTTTATCTTTGTAACCATACATCGTTTTTGGTGTGTTTTTTTTTTAAGATACTTGAGCGTTCTCTAAAACTGCTATTTGAAACAAGAGATATAAGTTTAATTAAACAGTATGTTCAGCGACAATGTATGAAGCTTCTGGAAGGAAAGGCCAGCATACAAGATTTTATCTTTGCCAAGGAATACAGAGGAAGTTCCTCTTATAAACCTGGAGCTTGTGTGCCAGCCCTTGAACTTACAAGGTAATGATGCGCACAACAGCACTTTCTTCCTAGCAAGCTGGAGTCCTGGGGTTCTGAACAGTTTGTAGATGAAAAGACGCCTGGTCCATAGGCACAGGCACACAGTTGTTTCTTCACTGCCCACCTGAAGCCTCACTAACGGTGCGTGGATGCTCCCCCGTACTTGGTGAGCTCTGAAGAGGAAAAAGGAACTTCTCTGCTGGGTTTACTATGGGTAATTAAATTCAGTGCAATTGTAATCTGGTACAGAGCTCGAATCGGTTTTTCTCCCATCAGAATCACTAGGTAGTCCTTAGTGTTGATCTACCAAAGCATTCAGACAGTATCATCCTGGAATCAGATAATCTAACCAACTGAATTTTCTTATATTTCATTGCTAGATTTATGATTCTTAGTTCTTACGCTTAGGGGATAGAAAACATTTTTAGCTAGGTGATATCTGCCAACTCATATTGTTTTCCAGGTAGCAATGATTTACAGTGTAAGTTTTAAATACTTACAGCATATCCACTTGGTGCCAACTAAGTGAAGTATATAAGTTCTCAGAAAAGCTGTAACTAACTTGAAGGCACCCCTTGTAGGTTTCTCATGGTTTCATTATTGTTCTCATTTAATTTTCTGGAAAGATGCGTTCCATGACAGTCTTTGAGTGTATATTTTCTTTGGCTTTAAATAGGAAAATGCTCACTTATGACCGGCGCTCTGAGCCTCGAGTTGGGGAGCGAGTGCCCTATGTCATCATTTATGGGACCCCTGGAGTGCCACTCATCCAGCTGGTAAGGCGCCCTGCAGAAGTCCTGCAGGACCCGACGCTGAGACTGAATGCCATGTACTATATCACCAAACAGATCCTTCCACCCCTGGCCCGAATCTTCTCACTTATTGGTATCGATGTCTTCAACTGGTATCACGAGTTACCAAGGGTAAGCCTCCTAAATAGTACCTGTGGCGTGACTGTAGAGAGAACTCACTTAAAATTTCCTAAAACTAAATTTTTTATTTACGTGCGTAAGAAGCAAACAAAGCACATGCAGTTATCCTCACCCGAGAAAAGCGCCACACTCTTCTGGTTCCATAAAAGGAAGTTTTCTACAGACACTTTCCCAGCTCCTGTCAGATTAGCCAAATTATAGATTAAAATAAATCGAGAGCAAAAATTCCTTCAAAATCGATGTTTAAGAAATGTATAGGACAGCGGTTCTCAACCTTCCTAATGCCGCGACCCCTTAATACAGTTCCTCATGTTGTGGTGACCCCCAACCATAAAATTATTTTCGTTGCTACTCTATA